GCTGGTGGCACTATATATGCCCACAGATAGTGATGCAGTAGACTTGGATGTTGTTTCAAAGATATGATTCAACAAGGCTATTGGTAGACTAATCGGTTCTCCTAATTTTGGCACAAGTACATTGGTGTAAGTTACAAGGACTTTATAAGCATGGCTGGGCTGTGTAGGCTATTATCCTACTCAAATCAGTACCTAGTCAATGCCATTGTTTTTTGGTAAAGGTTATGAGTCGCTTTTTAGGCCATTACAGAGGGTAATTAAGGATCAACCACATTACAGTGGGTGTGAAGTCAGATATCGGAAAGGACAATCAATGGCCAATCCGATAATTTCATATTCGCATTAACCATTACTATCTTTGTTTTTATTCCTGATTCATTTTATTAACTAAATTTGAATTCCCAAGCTGCTGATGAGATTTTAACTCATCTTTATGTTATTCATCCATGAATCTGGATTACTAATCCAATATCACAACTACTGTTCCTCTGTGATAGTGGGGACTGCCAATGCTGGAGAATCTGAGATAACAACGTGTAGAGCTGGATGAACACAGCAGGCCAAGCAGCATCAGAGGAGCAGCAAAGCTGACGTTTCGGGTCTAGACTCTTCTTCAGAAATAGGGGAGGCGAAGGGGATTCTGAAATAAATAGGGAGAGAGGGGGAAGCAGATAGAAGATGGATAAAGGAGAAGATAGGTGGAGAGGAGACAGACAGGTCAAAGAGGTGGGGATGGAATCAGTAAAGGTAAGTGTAAGTGGGGAGTTAGGGAGGGGATAGGTCAGTCCAGGGAGGACGGACAGGTCAAGGAGGCGGGATGAGGCTGGTAGGTAGGAAATGGGGGTGGGGCTTGAGGTGGGAGGAGTGGATAGGTAGGAGGAAGGACAGGTTAGGGAGGCGGGGACGAGCTGGGCTGGTTTTGGGATGCGGTCGGGGGAGGGGAGATTTTGAAGCTTGTGAAGTCCATATTGATACCATTGGGCTGCAGGGTTCCCAAGCGAAATATGAGGTGCTGTTTCTGCAACCTTCAGGTGGCATCGTTGTGGCACTGCAGGAGGCCCAGGATGGACATGTCTTCCAAAGAGTGGGAGGGGGGAGTTGAAATGGTTCACGACTGGGAGTTGCAGTCGTTTGTCGCGAACCGAGCGTAAGTATTCCACAAAGCGGTCCACAAGCCTCCGCTTGGTTTCCCCGATGTAGAGGAGGCCACATCGGGAACAGAGGATACAGTATACCACATTAGCAGATGTGCAGATGAACATCTGTTTGATGTGGAAGGTCTTCTTGGTGCCTGGGATGGGGGTGAGGGGGGAGGTGTAGGGCCAGGTTGCAGAGAAAAGTGCCGGGGGTGGTGGGGCTGGTGGGGAGTGTGGAGCAGACAAGGAAGTCACAGAGAGAGTGGTCCCTCTGGAAAGCAGATAAGGGTGGGGAGGGAAATAAGTATTTGGTAGTGGGGTCAGATTGCAGATGGCGGAAGTGCCGGAGGATGATGCTTTGGATCTGGAGGTTGGTGGGGTGGTATGTGAGGATGAGGGGGATTCTGTTTTGGTTGTTATTGCAGGGAGGGGGTGCGAGGGATGAGTTGCAGGAAATGCGAGAGACATGGTCGAGGGCGTTTTCGACCACTGTGGAGGGGAAGTTGCGGTCCTTGAGAAACGAGGACATCTGGGATGTCCGGGAGTGGAATGCCTCATCTCGGGAGCAGATGTGGCGGAGGCGAAGGAATTGGGAATAAGGGATGGCATTTTTGCAGGAAGGTGGGTGAGAGGAGGTGTATTCTAGGTAGATGTGGGAGTTAGCAGGCTTGAAATGGATATCGGTTTCCAGGTGGTTGCCAGAGATGGAAACAGAGGTTCAGGAAGGAGAGAGAGGTATCAGAGATGGTCCAGGTGAACTTAAGGTTGGGATGGAAGGTGTTGGTGAAGTGGATGAACTGTTCAAGCTCCTCGTGGGAACACGAGGCGGCGCCGATACAGTCATCAATGTAATGGAGGAAGAGGTGGGGGATACGGCCAGTGTAGCTGCGGAGGAGGGATTGTTCCACGTATACTACAAAGAGGCAGGCATAGCTTGGGCCCATGCGGGTACCCATGGTCACCCCCTTTGTCTGTAGGAAGTGGGAGGAATTGAAGGAGAAGTTGTTAAGGGTGAGGACAAGTTCAGCTAAGCGGATGAGGGTGTCAGTGGAGGGGGACTGGTCGGGCCTGTGGGACAGAAAGAAGCGGAGGGCCTTTAGGCATCTGCATGGGGAATGCAAGTGCATAGGGACTGGACATCCATGGTAAAGATGAGGTGTTGGGGACCAGGGAATTGGTAGTTTTGGAGGAGGTGGAGGGCGTGGGTGGTGTCATGGACGTAGATAGGGAGTTTTTGGACCAAGGGGGAGAAAATGGAGTCAAGATAATTGGAGATAAGTTCGGTTGGGCAGGAGCAGGCAGAGACAATGGGTTGACCAGGGCAGTCAGGTTTGTGAATTTTGGGAAGGAGATAGAAACGGGCGGTGTGGGGTTGGGGAATAATGAGATTGGAGGCAGGGGGTGGGAGGTCACCTGAAGTGATGAGGTTGTGGATGGTCTGGGAGATGATGTTTTGGTGATTGGGGATGGGGTCATGATCAAGGGCGCGGTAGGAGGAGGTGTCAGAGAGCTGGCGTCTGGCCTCGGCAATGTAGAGGTCAGTGTGCCATACTACAACTGCGCCTCCTTTGTCCGCAGCTTTTATGGTGAGGATGGGATTGGAGCGGAGGGAGCGGAGGGCTGCGTGTTCTGTGGGGGAAGAGGTTGGAGTGGGTGAGAGGGGTGGAGAGGTTGAGGTGATGGATGTCTCAACGGCAGTTGGAGATGAAGAGGTTGAGGGAGGGTAGGAGGCCTTGGGGTGGTGTCCAGGAGGAGGGGGTGTGTTGGAGGTGGGAGAAGGGGTCAGTAGAGGGAGGGTTAGGCTCACGATTAAAGTAGTAAGTGCGGAGGCGGAAAAACAGTTCAACGTCCAAGCGTGAGCTGTATTCGTTGATGTTTGGGTGGAGGAGGATAAAGGTGAGCCCTTTACTGAGGACTGACCGTTCGTCCTCAGTGAGGGGGAGGTCTGGGGGGATGGTGAAGACTCGGCAGGGCTGGGTGCTACTGTCTCTACTGTTCCTCTGTATTAATTTTGGATGCTAATATGCAGAGTATTAAGAAGTTACTTTGGATTACCCTCTTGACTTAGTGGTTTTCCTATTCTATAAAATAAATACAACAAGAAGAAATAGCACCTCTAGTAAGATCTGGTCTAAGATCAAAAGAAATCTGAAGTCCCAATAAACCTCCAAATTTTATCAGGAGCTGTTTGATTTAACTAACATTTAACTAGTTACTAAATTATGTATTTCTGTCTAAAGCATATAAAAGCTTGGAACAAAAAGGCCATTTGTCTCATTACATCAACTGCTTGTACAAACAATTCACCACTTTCATGGATAGGGTGAATAACCAAGGTCTTTTTCCTGGGGTGGGGGAGTGCAAAACTAGAGGGCATAGGTTTAAGATGGGAGGGAAAACATTTTAAAAGGACCTGAGGGGTAACATCTTCATGCAGAGGGTGGTGCATATATGGAACAAGCTACCAGATGAAGTGGTGGAGGTAGGTACAATTACAACATTTAAAAGGCATCTGGATGGGTATACGAATAGAAAGAGTTTAGAGGGATACGAGCCAAATGCTGGCAAATGGGACTAGGTCAGATTAGGATGTCTGGTCGGCACAGATGAGTTGAACTGCAGGGTCTGTTTTGTTCTGTATGACTTTATGATTCGATAATTAGAAGGAGATATAATTGAGGTGATCAAAGAAGTGTATTGGAGTATCAGGTGCACATGTTTTTAAAACTATGGGGATAAGTTAATGAACTTGAAAAACCACATTGAACTCTAGGTCTTATATTTGCAATATACAGTACAAAAACAAACAGACAATGTTAAACCTATGCAAATTCAATAGTTAGGTTGCAGTTAAAATATGGAGGTCTATACTGGCCAGAGAAGCTTGACCTATTAGCAGTACATCTGAAAAATCACAGTGACTGGAGGAGAGATAGTTAGGATAAGACTTGATAGAGATGTTTTAAGTCATGAAGTTTTTGCTAAAGTTGTCATAGAAAAAATATTTGACTAACTGATGACTCTATAATCAAGGGACATAAATTATTAACTTTAAAAGTATTGAATTGCTAAATGTAATTGGAAAATTGACTTAAACCGTGGATGAATTAGATTCACAATATCTAATGAATATAGTTGTTTAAGTTCATAAGATCAGGCAACTGATTTGCTTACTGTTCCAAAACAACAATTTATTTTATTCAACCCTAGCAGAAAGCAATACAAGTTGAATATGCACCTAGATTCTGTCAGTGCACTGTTCCATTGATAGGTCAAGAATGGAGCAGCAATGTTATTAACACCTTTAGGCAATTGATGTTATATCCTGTTAGCAAAAATGATTGGGGAAGGAGGGTTGGGGAGACCAGTAAGTAAGGGACAACGACATTTTTGGAAGACCGGGAGTAAGTTGTGACAGTTGTAACTAAATCTTTATGTAATCTTCGGAAAGATAGAAAATCATCTCCCGTCTCTGTCAAGAAAGTGCTTTGATTTATTACTGTGACAACAGAAAGGCTCCGACAAAATAAACATACCCAAGCCTTGACGCGAATAGTGTCAGTGGATAATAATGTGTTAATTCAGATTTATCACAGAATGTGATGTACACTATTCATACTTCACGTTTACAGTTAGAAGTTTAAGTCTTCCGCAAATTATTATAGAAAGTTAAAAACTGTACGAACCGACTTTGATATACATCTATTATTAAACGTTTGCACAGTTTGCAAATAATTCAGTTCTAATTAAAACCATGCAACTTCCACTAACAACCCTTAAAGCTGAATCAGAATTCCATAACAGTAAAAGACCTTCGTCCTACTGGAAGAAAATGTGGAATCGCAAAAGAAAGACAATACTTACAGATTGAAATAGGTGCGTAAAGTCGCAACTGGAACGCGGGCAGCTGTCTCCTTGGTACATCTGACAAACTGAGTGGAGCAGTGACAGATCTTGGGACAGTGGTAAGTTTGCACACAAGAATGACACACTATGTTACAACTTATCAAGAGGAACAGATAAATAGTTGAAGCCATGTGCGTGTCTTTTTTTCTGGGGAAGAAGATTTTTTTTTTCTGTACTGCTTCTCAGTCGGCTTGGCCAGCTCCAGGTGTCTTGCCTCCCACCACAGGCGTGTGCCGCTGCTTGGTGTGCACACTCCGATGCTGCCTCTGGTGGGTCGCGGGAATGCGCGCGCGCGCCGCTCCGGGCACCTGGAGGGAGCTCGCCGTCTCCGCGCGCCGGCTCTCCCGGGCCTCGTGCACAGCCACGACCACGGCGTGAGAGAGTTCCTCGTTGCGCATGAAGTTTTATGCAGGACGTGGTGATATGTAGATTGTATTCACTCACCCTCGTTCAAACCTAATGGACTGAGAATTTTTCTTGAAGTAATGAGCGGTAATATTCTGGTTGAGTATAGGTCGGTATCTATCCAGAGGCAGAATTGAATATTTCTTAGTGCAATTCATTCATTTTGTTAAGGGGAGGTCATGTCTGACCAACTCGATTGAATTTTTCGAAGAGGTGATTGGGTCTGTAGATGAGGGCAATGCATCTAACTTGTCCACTTGCACTTTAGCAAGGCCTTTGATAAGGTCCCACTTGGGAGATTGATAGCCAAGGTAAGAGCCCATTGGGATCCAAGGAAATTGGGCTAATTGCATTCAGAATTAGCTGTGCCTCAGGAAGCAGTGGTGATGGTTGGGGGGTATTTTTCTGACTGGAAGCAGGGATCAGTGTTGCTGTTTGTGGTATATACAAACGACTTAGATTTGAATGTAGGAAGGTTGATCAATAAGTTTGCAGATGATATGAAAATTGTTAGGGTGGTAAATAGTAAGGAGGTTAGCCTTACATTACAGGAGGATAGAAAAAGGCTCATCAGATGTACTGAGCCGTGGCAAATGGCATTCAATCCAGATAGGTGTGAGGTGATGCACTTGGGCAGAACAAAGTGATGGACTCTGAGAAACACTGAGGATCAGAGGAACCTTGGTGTGCATTTCAACTGATTGATCAAGGTAGTGGGACAGGTAGACAAAGTGTTAAGAAGGCATACGGGATACTTGCCTTCGTTAACTGTGAGAAAAAGTGATCAGATTATCATCGATACTATGCTAACACTTGTTAATATTGTTACAATGTTAAATAGCAACAGTTCTTATGAGGCAGTGTCAAATGGCTTCTCAGAATTTTACTTTCAACCTGTTTATGTAGGGACAGAGAGCATGAGGATTATTTTTCCATTCTAAATATTGCTCCTGACTGTTGTCTGCTAGAAATCTTTACAACGACCAAGAGTGAACCAGTCATACTGTCATTTCAATCATGCAAGTAGATGCTGGTTTACAGGCTGATGTTCTGATTTGGACTTTCATCAAAATGTCAACACACTTAAGTAATTATTAGGATTGTGTTCAGGAAACAAAGACCATGCGTTTTTCCCTCCAGGGAGGAAAGCAGAATTTGTGACTTGGTTGCATTCTTAACTGGCCCCAAGGTCACAGTCATTCTTCAGGATTTTCACAGAGCAGAACTTGAACCCTCTTCTTTTGTCCCACTTGTAGGAATACGACCACTATGCCACAAGATCCTAAGGGCTCCAGTTAAACTGTGGCCACAGGTTTGGAAAACTGAGGCATCCTTGAATTGCTGATAAAGCAGGGTACTTAATGAGCCTAAGTAGCTCCCCATCTTGTGGGAGCAAGTAGGTCTGCTGGACCTGAATCTACACGCTCAGCAAAAATGTCTGGTGCTGGGAAAAGGATCGAACAATATGCCAGCTGGTGCCGGGAATTTGGGACCTCATCAATTTCCATTCCCTCCCTTGGCAGGGTGGGGGACTGAAAATCCCATCCAATAATTTCAATGAACATCTCACCAGCTCTCCTTTCACACTGGTGTCTCCTACCTAATATTCCAGAAGCAGACAATCTGCTGGAATTTTCTATTGATAGAATGGTGTAAATGGCTTAAATGGTAAATTATCCATTTTTTGTACTGATTTTCCAAGAAACACATGGAAATTTAGAGCCAATGAATCTTTTTCTAATGAATCCATTACTGGCCTTTAATTACTCTGAATCTGTCAGTTATGAAAACTCAAAACTGGTGGAACAATTTTGTGATTTGTCATCAAATTTTGTACATGTTCCTCAAATTACAATTAAGAGGTCAATTGCATGGTAACAGATTGACTCACTATTAGAAGTTCACTTCCATGTTAAGTAGGAAGTAATGAGAATTGTGCATATTTATGCAAGATTTACTCAATTCATGAGCTATGCTAATTTCTGTGATTAATGTTGACTATAATGCAGCAGAAGAGCTAAATGTGAGGATACCACATAGCTGGAGGTAATTCTCAAACTTTATTAACAAGGAACCTTTCTATAAATGCTACAGTAGTAATAATAAGTCTTCTTTCTAAACACTTTGGAGGAAGAAGGCAACATAAGATTAATTGCTGCAAAACAACAGATATCAGCTGGCAATAGAAATGGCCAAGTAATCCCATGACCAACTTAAACTCTACAGGCCTGTCCTATCTAATGGTTGTGGACAGTTAAACAACTAACAGGAAGTGGTTGCTTGGCAAATATCCTCATCTTCAATGATGAGGGAGTCCAGCTCTTCAGTGCAAAAGATATGACTGAATCATTTGTGTCCAATTTCATTTAAAAGTGCTGAGTGAATAATACATCTTGACCACCTCCTGGGATCACAGATGCCAGCCTTCAATCAATTCAATTCATCCCATGCAATATCATTATCACATTGTTATTTGTGGAATCTTGTGTGATTTTGTTGCTATGTTTCCTACACAATGACTTTAACCACACTTCAAAAGTATTTTACTGGCTGTAAAGGACTTTGGTGTGTCCTGAGGTTGTTAAAGGCACTGTATAAATGCAAGTTCTTTATTGAGGAATGCTACACTGGTGGGATTGCCACTCTTTGAATGAGATACCCAAACTATGTTGACACCACACTCCATTGTTACATTGTTGAATATGTTATAGTTCTTATGAGGCATTGTCCTGATTGAGTGGCAGAAGACAGAAAGTAGGGATAATGCGTAAGTACTCAAATCAGCAGGATGTAACCAGTGGTGTCCCTCAAGAATCTGTGTTGGGTCCTCAATTATTCACGTTCCTCAATTATTCACGTTATTTATTAATGGTTTGGATACTGGTGTAGAAAGTCATATATCCAAATCCGTCGATGACACAAAGTTAGGTGGCATTGTGGACAGTGTAGATGATAGCATGAAATTACAAAGGGATTTTGATAGACTAGTTGAATGGGAAAACTGTAGCAGATGAAGTTTGATATAAGTAAGTGTGAAGTTATCCATTTCAGCCTGAAAAAGGATAGATCAGAGTACTTTCTAGATGGTATGAAATTAAATACAGTGATGTCCGAAGAGACTTGGTGGTTCAGGTGCGTAGATCTTTAAAATGCCGTGATCGGTACAGAAAGTAATCAAGATAGCTAGTGGAATGCTGGCCTTTATAACTAGAGGACTAGAGTATGAAGAAGTTATCCTGCAGTTATACAAAACCCTGGTTAGGTCCCTCTTGGAGTACTGTGAGATGATCTGGGCACCACACCTGAAGAAGGATATATTACTCTTGGAGAGAATACAACAGAGGTTTGCAAGAATGATACAAGGAGAGATTATACAAATTAGAGATAACAAGGTGTAGAGCTGGATGAACACAGCAGACCAAGCAGCATCAGAGGAGCAGGAAGGCTGACGTTTCGGGCCTAGACCCTTCTTCAGAAAAGATTTCT